AGGAAGGAAGGAAGGAAGGAAGGAAGGGAGCACAAATGTTCCTATAGGCTTGAACACAATTCACTGTGATTACATAGGAATAGGGAAAGCCAAATTTACTAATTTTGTTATCGGTTAGTGAAATACCCGTTATTACTAATCTGTTTGCTTCCGATCTCTCCGAATGGAATAAAGCCATGTCTCCTTCCTTCGGTCCGTCCATCAGGGAATGGAAAACAGCTGCCGTCATCCATCCCATCGGTGCCAACATGGGGGTGGGACGGTGAGTTGTGACATCAGCAGCTCAAACGATCAGGCTTCCTTCAGCCCTTGGTTGGGAGTGTGGAAGATGGGAGTGACAGTGGCTTTGTAATCATGCAGGAGGGGCACCTGCCACTTGTATACCTGGGAACACCCTAGAGAAACCATCAGGCTCCCAAGGGTGGAGTGTGAGAGGAAGGAGAGGGCAGCAGAGACGCTCTCCTCTTCCCCTGCCCTCACTGTGCAGCCAGTCACCCTTAAATCAGGTTATCCTGCCTCCCAAATCAAGTACGCTGCTCATTCCCAGGTTGCCAAATCCTACTCCATGTCTTCGCTTGGACAATTTCAGGTATCAACTCTTCTTGGTCAGAGGAAAGTAGATAGGTATTTACCCATCATGGTCAGGAAATTAAGACCTGGCTCAGGTTCCCAAAAGCAATAATCCTTCCTTTCCTCTCCCACCCTGCATTTTTCCTTCTTATTTCTAATAAATTACTATGCTTTCAGAGAGAAAGAGCCAAGCTTACAAAATATGTCACAAATCTCCTAGCATAATAAGTAAGATACACATCTCAAGTGTAATGTGTCATCTCATGCGAAGAATTAAAAGGGAATTCAAAGACTGCTGAACGTCCCCTGTTTCTTCCAACATCAGGTTTTGGGGAGCCAGGCTCTCCACCAGGGATCCTAAACCTGCTTCCAGCTCTAGCTTCTTTAAACTCAATACCTACTCATAATGAGTGCTCCAAAAACATTTCTCAGATTGAATCAAATATTTAACTGCCTGTATCCTGTTTTAGTGTGTATTTGAAAGTAAACAATTTGAAAAGCAGTCTCTGCCACCATGAAAAAGGAAGATGCATCCTGATTTGTACTAAAATCTTCCTCTTTACCTTTCTTATAACTACTTTAAAAGAGAACCTAATAATTTAAAATTATACTTCCACTGAAAATTCCTGGGCCAATAAATTCTTGATTATCTAGGATAAAGAAGCTATGACTTGAAAAATAATTCTTGGCCAGGCACAGTGGCTCACACCTGTAATCCTAACACTTTGGGAGGCCAAACTGGGCAGATTATGAGGTCAGGGGTTCAAGATCATCCTGGCCAATATGGTGAAACCCTGTCTCTACTAAAAATTAAAAAAAATTAGCCAGACGTGCTGGCACGTGCCTGTAGTCCCAGCTACTCAGGAGGTTGAGTCAGGAGAATCACTTGAACCTGAGAGGTAGAGGTTGCAATGAACCAAGATTGCACCACTGCACACCAGCCTAGGTGACAGAGCAAGACTCTATCTCAAAAAA